GTAACCTGTATGTAGTCGTATGTAGTCGTATGTTACTCGTATGTAGTCGTATGTGACTTGTGGGTAGTTTTAGCAACGATCTTTTATGACTGATGGCGATATTTTTTTTAAAATAGCTCTAAATCCCTTCGAAATCACACAAAGCAATGTTAAATGACATAAGCAACACATGAGATTAAGGTAAAATGTATTTTATCAAAAAAAAAACAATTTTGAATCAAATGCTTTGCTTGGGTTGCCAGTGTACTTCTAGGCTTGATAATGATGTAATTAAAAATAAAACAATAGTTTTGCGAATTCGTTAGAGCAATTTTATTTTATTCGTGAAATTTTCACCCGTCTGTGAAATAGGAATTGTACTAGTAAATATACTATTACCCCCTATTAGCTCCCAATAGTTTAACTTATGACATGCGACAAACTAATTTTGTAAATACGGTTTTGAATTGGGAGAGCCTACGTAGTACTCAGTTGATGTAATATATTCATAAAGATATAATACAAAACACATAATACAATAGAACGAGAAACAATGGAATACAATACATTTTATGAATACATTACATCAACTGCGTGCTACGTAGGTCTCCCCGTTTTGAATTTGCCTTTTGGTAGCCTACTACACCCTTATAGTTACTATTAAACACTGACTAGTATACACTTAATGACTGGTCCCAAGAGAAACGGTCAGTTTTGTTTCCCGAGAATCTCAATGTTTCCCGAAGTACGCCGAGAGAAACATTGAGATTCGAGGGAAACAAAAACTAACCGTTTCCCGGGGGAACAGTCATTAAGTTCTATTTCTTGACTAAGATTTGAAAATCTGTTTTGATGCCGGCTCCATTTTGTAAACAGTCGAAAGGAGCAGCAAAAACCATTCCCGCCTTTACAAACTTTTACTCGAAGCGAGGCGCCCTTTTCCCGCCAATGGCCAAGCGGTCAACAATCGTCAAACTGTTGACCGATCAGTCAACAGTTGGTTTTAGCTCCGGACACGTGACACCGAATCGTCCAATAAGAGAGCGAGAAAACAGTGAAAATAATTTACCAATAATATAAAAATTAGGTAACACCTAATAGCGGAGCTCCAATAGTAGAGTCATAACACTTGCACCGTGAAATATGATCAAAATAAACAGTAAATATTAGTGTCTATTTATTGAMTWATAGTAGAWATTACTGAACCAGAACACAGTTCATGAAAACAAAAGGCAATATACAGGAGACTTGACAACTGCCATCTTTAATTTCATGTACAATCAAGACAAAAGACACATCTAGATCTAAAATAACCACACAATACACTAGGGAGCGCGTTTAACGAATCTTTATTTATTTGCGCTGCTGGCGTAAAATCAAGACAAAAGACACATC